GAGTAAGTTACGGGACTAATCTGTGTGAATAAATCACATTCGGCTATAAACCTGACAGCAAGTCCACACTAAAACATTCTCTCCTCTAAATCAGTAGAAAACCATTTACTAATACTTCCTAATTTTGGGGAACCGCCAACACAACAACGACCTAAACGTTTTCCCCCGGGGATTATCTAAGTTACTATTAATCCTCCAACAACACCAAGTTTTGTTTCCGTCTAACATTAAGACAGGTCTTATTAACTTTGATTAAATAAATCTATTAGTCCTTAGAGTGAAAGTTTACTTCGTATTTACTTTTTCAACAAATTGATTATATAAATATTTTTTATGAAAATGGAATGGTCTAATTCAACGGAAAGACGACAATAGGGTAATTTTTCGGTGTTAGTTATTTACATGAAAGTAAACGAACGTTAACATCCTACTTCTCAAAAACCCAAACTGCCGCCTGATTTTCGAAACGACGGTAATTAGAAAGAATAAATAAAATGTTGAGTTAGAGAATTTTGCATTATTTTATTTTTTATAAACTTTATATTACGCGTAAAATTTCCACGTTTCGTCCAAAATTCGCTCACTAAACTTATTAAAAATAAAGTAAAATGTAAGATATTTGTGTGTATAACATTCGAATTTATATACTTAAACGCATTACCCTATTTGTGAAAGACTCTAACTCCGAAGTTTTAATTTTTTTTCAGAAAGGGTCGAATCGGGATTTTATACTAAAACACTGTGAAGGACGATATAAAAGAAGGAGAGTTTGAGTCTTTTGGGTGTAACAGAACAACCAAAAAAGATGAAAACCAACACGATTTTTAGTTTGACATTTTTTTGATTTCTTCTACCTAGTGACATACGCTAGCTTTACTTTTACCTAACGACGTCTTGATATATATTTTAATAAACACTGTGGTTTAATTACTAATATTGTTCCATAATGTGCGCTCTGTTGATAATAACGACGAACATTTTACGGGGATAACGAACTTAGAAATAACACATCAATAAAGTGTAGAAAATCTAAGCACCACAGGGTGGAAAATCGGTAAACTTCCCGGGTTATTCGAGGTTTCACTGGGGGCAAGGTCGGGACAGGAATCCTGTTCAGAAGGAGACGGGTTCGCCCTGTGGTTAGCAGTACGGTTCGTGTGTTCTTCAGTTACGTGTGACGTAAGGGAGGTTGTTTACGAGGGTAAAGTTGTCCAGACTTGACGAGACCTGATTAGGGAGGTTTGGGGACGCACCCCTCGAATAGACGAGCTTCTCTAAAGTCCTCCTCCCAGACGCATGAGGAACGAAGAGACGATGTTCAACTTTGAGATTATGAACTCTTTACGAGAGTTGAAAAGAAAACGTTTTGCTTCCCTTTATACAGTTTCACTTTTACGAGTTTATTCCAGTCAATAAGTCTAAATAAGGACTTAAAGTATTAAAGAAATCTCTTTCTTACTGACCAACTTCCGTCTTTTCTTCCGCAAATATACAAACCCCTCGACACCGTGAGTAAATGTTGTTCCTTATGTAAAAGGAACTGCACGTACCGCGCCCTATAAAGTCTTAGAGCCGCCATTTTTTTTGATATCTATTAGTCTCCACAAACAAGGTTGAGTTCCGAGTGTCACGACCAAAACAAGCCGCTTTTGCCTGATAGGCCATGCGCGCGCGCATGAAATTGTATTTTCCTTTGCGTTACACGAACGGCCTTGGTGGTTCTAGGAATACCTACCTATAATTTCCCCGGGGATAATACGATCTACTGTTCCTAAGTATAAAAAATAGTATACGGGAGAATGAACACGCTTACTAATGTACGAAATTAAAAGTTTTTCGAGAAATAAAAAGAGTATGACGGACACGACGGGTCGTTGGAGAAAAGGAGAGACCGGCAAAAGAGTTACACCTCATTTGGACGACGGTGTCCGTCATACCTTTTTATTTCCTCGAAAAAACTTTTATTTCGTACATAGTAAGGTGTCATCTCGCGGTAATCTATTTTTTATACCTTAGACTAGTAACGTATTATCCCGGGGAAATTTTAGGTAGAGTAATTCCGTAACCACCGAAAAGCGTCGTGGTAAACCGCAAGAAAATACAAAATTTATCGAAGTTCATTCCTATCAAAAGGGGTTTTTGGTCGTGACCACGTCGGAACGTCACCTTGTTTGTGAGACTAATATATAATCAAAAAAAATGGCGGCTCCTAAACTTTATAGGGGCGCGTACGGGTAGCAGTTCCCTTTTACATAAAAACAGACATTTACTCACGGTGTCGAGGGGTTGTATATTCGAAGAAAGACGGGAACAGTTGTTCAGTAAGAGAAAGAGATTCTTGTAATACTTAGTCCTTATTTAGACTTATGACTGGAATAAACTGTAAAGTGAAACTTGTATAAAGGGAGCAAACGGTTTTCTGTTCCAAACCTTGTAAAGAGTTTCGATAAGTCTCCCAAAGTTGACACATGTCCTTTCGTTCCTCATGGTCTGGGAGGAGGATCTTTAGAGAAGCCTCGTCTAAGGAGGGGTGGTCCCAA